GAGATATATGCACGTTATCTCTGGATTAAATTAAACAAGATTTGCCACTGTTTACAGAGCAGTGCCCCACCAGATAGGTATTTTAGTCTAAATAAAAATAATAATAATAATGATGATTAAAAAAAAACACACATTAAAAAGCTAGTATTTCCAGCATATCAAATATCTTTTTATTTCAACTGAAATCCTAACAACAGAGCCTGTGCTGTTTTCACATTTGGACATGACAGGAGGTTTCACAAACTCAGCAGCAGCAGCAGCTTCTGCTGACAGACTAACTATCTGTGTTTGCAGACAGACCTCTGGAACACTATGTTCCTGACATAGTGTCAATTAGTCTGTTCATCCTGCTGCCAAAAATAATATATGAGCCCTGACAGGTTTGGCATTAATAAAGTAACACCAGCAATTGCCCTACCAAGGAGAATATGATCAGACACACCACAGCAGACTAGAGAAGCTATGAGTGTTTAACCCCACAGACTGCAGCAGTTTCAACCACCTAATAAGGTCATAGCAAACCACAAACAAACTGAATTTTCTATCATGGCAGGTCAGACTTCATTTTCACAAATGGAGCTAAACACATTCACTGCTGTGTTTCATGCTCAGCTGACTGGTCTGCAGTGAAAAACAGAATTTGGTGGAAGCTATGGAGGAGAAGCGGCACAGCAGGAAAAACAGCAGAATAAACAAGGGGAAAGCAAGGCCAGTGCATTAACGAATGAGTCACCATGTAGCCAGCAGAGTTCAGCATTCAAGATTTTGACTTTCATTTAAGTGGTCTCACTCCAAATTGCCTCTTTCTGTAACATAAACAACTGACATTTATATAAAGTGCTTGAACATAGCCCTCAGTAGAGAGGTCTAAGTAGATTAGATAAACAGCTTAGGTAATCTATACAAGCACTATGGGTTACAAGGGTCTCTGAACTAAATGTATCACTTTAAATCAGTGCTTCCCACACAAATTGAGCTTTAGACTTTACTTCAGTGGGCTTGACAGGGACATTAAAGCTGCCTAAGTGTATTCTGTGTTGCTTTTTAGCATTTCTTTTATTTATTTTGCCCATCTAATTACAATATTCCCTTCCTTTTGTTTTAAACGATAAGTGATCTCTACACAACTATTCCTGGCCCTTCTCATGGTGTTTTCCCACCAGCAGGGTGTCGTTGTGCTCTTTGGTGTCATTCAGCTGCTCTCCAGAGAGTCAGTTATCCTGGAGTAGTACAGACTACAACAGCAGCTGGTAATGACAGTTCTTAGACGGCTCTGGAAACCTGCTTTAAGCTCAGCAGCTAACCTAACTCACAGCAGGTGGAGAACTGCTTCACTGAACTTAGAGGTTGCATACATCCCGTCTATACTGTCCTTGAATGAGCAGTACTAAACAAGATAGGCAGCTGTGTTTTGAGTGAGCTAAAACGTATGAAGGCCTTGTTTTAAAGCAATGGACAAAATAACTGAGCAGTAACTGGCCTGTGTTAAATATATCATTATAATTAAAAAGACTTACAGTGTGACAGAGTTTTTGTGGTCAGGTCCAGTCTGTCCCAGCCCCTTGGTGCTGTGTTTTCCAGCAGGCAGATTGTTTGCTTCATAGTCTGCATCCAGCAGCTCATTAGATTCTCCCAGAGCGACCTGTGGGCATGAATATATGAATATTTACCAGTGCTGCATTATATTTAGGCCACTACACTTTGCAGAGGAATTTTTCTGGGTATCAAATTCAACTTTTTTGACTTCCTACGGGTCTCTACCTGAGACCTCAGCAGTAAACATCCTCATTGCAGGATCAAAAAAGTATCTGGATACAAATTATAAATATAACTGTTCAACCTGCAAAAACAAAACTCCATTGCAGATTACAGACAAGACATTTCCTTGGCAGCAAATTTAAGAAATGTGCAGGCCAGAGCAGCTGCAACAAAACTTTAATAATGAAAATTATTAATGGCAAACAAACAAACAAACAAACAAACACCCTTACTTCACACAGTAGCAGCAGTCCAACGTTGTTGTTCTGGTTGGCAAAACAGTAGTTGGCACTTTTTGATGACATGTCAGCAAAGTAGATACCTTTACCAAACTGAGTGAAAGAGAAATGAGAAAATGTAATATACCGATGTGAGTTCAATTTCAATGCCTGAGATAATTTCATGTTGAAAATTGATAAAATTTTAAAGACTCCATAAAATGTAATTATTTAGATCAATTTTATTGATTTTTTCTTAAAAATGTGTTTAACTTCTGTTACATACAAGCTGAGACAAAGTCAAACTGCATATTTTATTTGTCTTTCATTCTCTCACCGAGGTTCCTACAACAAAATTTTAAATCAAGACATTTTGAAGACACCAATGAAGAACAATGATGATAACAATATGTACTGTAAATATTCAATATTCAATAAATATTGAATATTTAATATCCAGGCTTTCCGCTAGTGTACTGCAACCCGTGTTGGACCTAAGACTGGTCTTAAGGACTGGTCTTTTGGAATTTTGATATTCCATCCTACCATGTAACCAGTAACAGGAGCTTCAGGGGGGGCCACTCGAAGTCCCTGACTGAGGATGCCGACCCAGTTAGACAGACGTGAACCGTGCCACAGCAGAGTCCTGGCAGACAGGTAGACGATTAGCTTGGCTCATTGTGAAACAAAACACAATTTTCATTGACATCAATGTTGGATTTTTATCAAGGCAAACATGCAACATAATAAATCTGATTTTGAAGTCAGCTTGAAGTCATAAAGCAGTGACAGTATTTCTTCCTACCTGTTACTTAACTGTGACAGGAAATTTTTGCTCTCCCCGTCTCTGTCCACTGAGAAAATGTCAAGCACGGTCATGCTGTAGTCACAGTGGGTGGGGGCGTGAGTGGTGTGCAGATACTGCTCTATCACCTTCACACAAAGAGGAGGAAAGTTAGCTCAATGCAAAATGCTGAAAGGAATCCAAGATAATACTGAAGACTAACAACTACACAAGTTTAAGTGTGAATGGAAATGTAGTCAGCCAAAGGAAATCTCCATGGTACCCACTCAATATCAGTCAGTTCACTGTGAGATATATGCACGTTATCTCTGGATTAAATTAAACAAGATTTGCCACTGTTTACAGAGCAGTGCCCCACCAGATAGGTATTTTAGTCTAAATAA